ATAATAATAATTATAAAATTTGGTCATACTCGTATTTTCAAACATACTTTTTTTCTTTTCCTTAACTATAAAAAATGTGATGGTTTTTTTATATTTCTTTTGTCAGTAAAAGATTGATTTATTTTACTTTAAATTTTTTCTTTTATTAACTTTTCTCTACTGCAATATGACTAATTGAAATAGTCAAATATATATATTTATAAAGTTTCGATTTGAAATAGACTGATACTGGGTATTAATATAATTCAGAAATAACGTCTCAGGATTAACTTAAACCAGGATAATGCGCCTTAAGTCGGATGAACAACATCTTTAGTTAATAGAACACAGAATGTCTATATATACTTATTGATACAGATATCTATTATGACTTGGCAAGAAATTGTTTGAAATTTAACAATAGAGTACAGCAATGTTTAAAAATTTCGTACGATCATGAAATCATGCGCCCGTCCGTACAGTCTCAAGGGCAATTATTTATGTTTTATTTGGGTTACGATCTATAACGTCTTACTAGATCATAAATATTTTTTATTAAAGGACGTTATTGAGAGCTTTTATGCTTTATTTTCCCGACTTATTGCCCGTTTGCACTAAAATTTCATATCGCAAAACATATGTTTGTAAAGTGTTGAAAAGTTTCAAATTTGATGCAAAAAAATGTGTATCAATTTAAATTTTGCTATACATTCCCAAATAAACAGAGATGACGTAAAGACTGGTTTATTTATTGACGGTATCTTCTCGGCAGAATGTTACAACTATCCGAAATTAACGGAATCGTGACAAAAAATTGTTTGTAAACAAATCTATTTAAATGTAATATTTTTGGGATTGAGTTTTGTTTACTAGATGTAGTGAACATCAGTAGACTTGCTCAATGTGTGTAGGATTACAGTCGTAAATTTAATTTAATACATTTATTTAATATTTGTAATAAATATATGAAGATCCTTCTAATTTTATAAATATGAAAGTGAGTTCGTTTGTTACGTCTTAGCACCTTAACAGCTTAACTAATCACTATGAAATTTGGTATACACATACTACATGGGGCGGAGAAGTACATAGGCTTTTTTTTTAATGGGTGATAATGGAATGGTAACCCCACCCGCGCTATCGGTATACACCGGCGGGGCACCAGTGAAGGATGATAGATGAGGATGAAGCAAGTCAGTTAGCCCATCGTGACGAATTCAATAAGAATTGTTTACGATGGTTTCTAGGGGGAACCACGTGGAGGTCGACGTAATAGGGTATATTGTTAATAATGGGGGTGTCAATCTCCATTCCTAACAATCCCTTTCCCCCAGTACATAGGCATTAGGCAGGCTTTATACCGGTCAGTAAATTTATTCCGGTTTATCGTTTGCCACTTCGAAATTATTTTCAATCACACAATAACTATTAGAACATGATTTCATAATTATTTTAGTAATCGCTTTATGTAATTAATTTAAGATTAATTGTTTCTTGTAATAATAAAATGATGTGACTGCCAAACATCAAATTAGTGCAGGTCACCGCATGATGTGAGAAATACCCGATTTTGTTTATTTTTCTATATATGTAGGTGCATATACATAATATTGATGTTACTTTCCAGTCATACATACCCATTTCAACGGATATTTTATGATTCAGCGTTTCGACAACGACTGACTTTCACCTTGTTGACTGATTTGTTCCAATTTTATGTTTTGTTTTTGTTCGAAAACGATATGATTTCAATAAATTGATGTTTTATTTATTGTTAACTCGATATGTATATTTCTAAATGAAAGGACGAAAACCAAACCCTTCTCACTTTCTTTACAAATTCTACTAATAACAAAATAGTAATGTTTGTAAGATTTTTTAATATTTTAATAACTTTTAAGCGACTAAACGTATATATATATATATATATATATATATATATATATATATATATATATATATATATATATATATATAAAAAAGTAGTTTAGTTTTGAAATTAAAATAACAAATTTTGCAACAATTTAAGTCGGTTTTTTCATTAAACACAATCTTTAATTATCAATACGAGTGGCATCATGACAGTCTAAATCTTGTTCGGCGTTAGAATAAAAGTGAAATTTTAATAATTAATGTCCAGAAGGTGTTCACACCTGTCGACACCGGCTCACCGGTCTGTCAACAACCGACCTAATTATCTCACGAATTATTCATAGTCTATTTATAATATAGTTTTGTACCTGGTAAGGTTTGGTACATGAGTAGCTTTATATCCTATCTTAGCACGTAGAATACTATATACACTGATTCACTTGAATGAAGCAGCGGGGTACAGTTAATTGTTTATATTTATTAAAATCTATCCAAGGAATAGCGTGCAGCAATGCGGAATTGTTATTTATATCTTTGATCTGGTTACAGAAGTTTGATGGTAGTTTACTACCAACAAACTGTTATGATAAAGCTACGGAACACACGGCCGAAAACTCCAACAAGATGCGGCTAACTGGGCACCTTGACCGATATAGGTGCAGAAAAACAAAGATGATCCTTTTTAATATATTTATTAACGACATCATTAACTGTTTTCAGTTTTCTGAGTTATACATATTCGCAGACGACTTGAAGTTTGCTAGGTTGATTACAACTATTGAGGACGCATTAAAGCTTCAAGACGACTTAAGTAGACTACATAAATGGTGTCTCCAAAATGGCATGAATTTAAACACTAAAAAGTGTTTTAATATGAAATTCTCTAGAAAATTGCACATTATTGATTATCCATATTCAAAATGAAATAATTGAATCTAGGAACACCATAAAAGACTTAGGAGTGACCTTTGATACAAAATTAACTATATAGATAATGTAGTTAAAAAAGCTAGCATGATGTTAGGATTTATTATAAGAAACACTAAAGATTTTCGTAATAGTCGAACCAAAATTATTTTATATAATAGTCTTGTCCGCAGTATACTGGAGTACTGTAGTGTAGTCTGGCGTCCACATTATTGTACACATGTTTTACGTATTGAACGTATTCAAAAGAGATTTTTGTGGCACCTCTCGTATCTAAATAATAAAGGAATAAAAAACTCCTCTTACATTGACGCTGAAGCATTTTCATATCATCTCATTAGAAAAACGCAGAGATTTTATTGACATTTCTTTTGGTTTTAAAATACTGACGCATATAATAGATTGTCCACAAATGCTTCAATTGTTTAACTTTCGTGTTCCCTCTAGAATACCTCGGAAACAGATAACACCTTTATGTCCTCCTTTAAGAAGAACAGTGTTAGGAGCCAACTCGCCTGTACCCAGATGTAGGATTCTGAATGCTCACAGCGATCAAATTGACATCAATTTTGGACCTATCAACAGCAGATATAGCTTATTGCGGAAAATCTTAGACATAAGTTCATAATCTACTTATTATTCAGATAATCTTACTGTTATTGTTAATGATTTATTAAATAATATAATAGTGCATGTGGTGTTCGCGTATAAAAGATTTTTACATTAGGCAAAATTATTTTTTTGTGTTATTAAGTTGCATGTAAAATGTAAAAGTTGTATGTGAACCTTATTAAATAAATAAATAAATGATGCGAACCAGACCTCTGCAATCCAGCAGTGACTCATTCGCTCGCGATGGAATTGTTTGAATGAAACGATTTTAGAATGCATGCGGAATTCATACGACCGATTCTGACCGATGCGCTGGCACTTGGCATAGCACAGCTGAGTCAGTGTTCAGCATTCATTATTCACGCCCACTACGGCGGTTTAATAAATAAACTATTACGAAAATATGGCTGTACTATGTCGACGCTGGAAAAGCAAAATGTGTTAACGTCACTATCAATGAAATGAGCATTTTTTATTCGTCGAATGGTACTCTACCCTACTAAGTACTATTATAATCGCGAATGTTTAAGTGCATAAATGGAAACATCCAATTTACTCTTTCATGCAAAAATTACTAAACGGATTTGAATAGAATTTGATACATGGATAGATAGGTGAATAGTAGTAATGGTATACTTTATATTATGATTTAATAAATTTATCAAAGCAAGTCGCCGGCAATTTAGCCAAATCACAAAGGTATCAACCACAGGAATTTCTTTGGTTTATATTCCTTCAAAAAGGTTGTATTAGGATTTCATCAGGGACAATAACGCGCACGTGATGCTTCTAGTGTTGCATGCGTCCATAGGTTTCAGTTTACCATTAGACGGGTTGCTTGCAACGAAGATGGCAAATACTTGTTGCCATCTTCGTTGTAAAAAATCCATTCATTTTATTGTTTTCTATTTTTTATTGATATAATAATGTCATGTTAAAAATAAAAAGATATAATATTAACTGTATTACTATATTAGAAATTTATTATACTAATCCTGGTTTTACTCTCTCGATTAGTTTTTTTTTTGGCTTTCCTGTAAATTTAATTAAGTACCGCTTAATGAATTTTGCATTTTCAGCCTTAACTCTCTATTTCGTGTATAGGTACATTAGAAATGACGGAAGAGCGCATATCTTGCCGGATCGTCTGCAAGGTGACGATGCGTTTTGTTTGGATTTCCTTGCTTTGGAACATGTTGAACTCTTCGCTGAATCATCGTAACCAGGGTCACGTTTGTTACTCATTTTGTATTTTTAATTAAAAAAATCAATATTTCAAGTGTTTTGACAATATTAGGTATTTTGGTACCATCTTATATGTTGTAGAAATTACCGTTTCATAAAGTTCTTTTTTATTGGCAGTTTATATTATAAATAAATAAATATTTTACTAATGAAAATACTAAAATAATACTAATGATTTCAATATCATATAGATTTTGTTTAATTGTCGCCAATAGATATGATCAGTACCATAGTCATTATATAATTTAGTCCAGTTTGAATTTTAATTGATACGTTTGAACACGGGTAACTGAAAGACAAGTCCATTTTGACTACGTCCAGAAGACTGAGGGCTATGTAAGTGAGAGAGAGAAAGCTATACTCACAGTTCTAGTACGACGCACATATATTTCCCCCACTCGTATGCATCATACAGCTGTATCAGGCGAGGATGTCGGAGACGCCTCATCACCTCCACCTCGCGTTCCACGTTCCGCCGCTCGTCCCTTCGGCTGACGGAGACCAGCTTCGCGGCGAGCTCCAAGCCGGTACTCTTCTCCCGGCATAGGTATACCGTGCCGAATTTTCCCCTAAAGAATTGATAGGATCATGAATAATAATCACAAAACAAAGTATAATTAGTACAAGCACAGTTTGGGAAAAAAGCATGCTATTTAATTCTTAATAATATTTTAAATGTGAAAGCTTGTTCTTAAATAAATTCGTTTGTTTGTTACCTTTTAGCGCCTTAACGATTCAATCAATCATCATGAAATTCGGTATAGACACAGTAATTCCAGCCAGTCAATATATCTCAGTCGGGGGGAAGGGATTGTTAGTAATAGGGTCTAATGAACCTATTGCTAGTAATATACCCCATCAGGTCGACCTCCACGCGGTTCCCCCTGGAAACCATCGTGGTTAATTCTAGTGGAATTTGTCACGATGGGCTAACTGACCTGCTTTCATCCTCATCTATCATCACTCACTGGTGCCCTGCCAGCGTGTACCGATAGCGCAGGTGGGGTTACCATTCCATTATCACCCATTAAAAAAAAACATATCTCAGTCAAACAAACATAGCCGCAGTTAAAAACTAAAATATACAAATCGTAAGAAAAAAATTTACTAGTAAGATATTCTGGATCGGACTCAAAGCATCTAGCTTTGGGTATCTTAATTTAAAACATGATCAAAGTCAACGAAAGAAGTGACAGAATGTCTTGTTTCTTTGTCTGATAAGCCAGTATTTTATTGTGAATAAGGCATATTAATACGACGCAATTATGCACGATTTGATTACGTATAATTTTTCACGGCGTAATAATTTGCAGGCTTTTAAATAATTCAATTTGTTTGTGAAAATTATTCTGATATGTTAACTGTCCACTGCTGAATATAGGCCTCTCCCTATTGTGGGATTTTGCCAGTAGTTGCCACGCTTGGCAGGCGGATTGGCAACCGCAGTCAAGCTTTAGAGATGTTTCAAGAGGGATGCAGCTGCCCATTCCTCGCTCTCCTTAGTCGCCTTATGTCGGGATCACACAGCATATTATACTTGATATAATTACGTATAATTTTTCACGGTGTAATGTTTTGCTGAATTTTAAATATTTCTACTTGTTTGTGACAATTACTCAGGTATATTTTCGTTTTGTTTTGGCATTGCATAATAATTAATTTCGACAGAATATGAGAGTTCTCGTGTTTATTCCCGCGTTCATATCATTACCGGTTGGATCCCGGATGATTCCGTAACTAGTCGAGTCGGTTATTTTTATAATTAATAGTAATAAGTACCATACAATTACGCCAATCAACCGGTGTTTAATCTAGGATATCTTGTATTATATGGAACCAAGCAAAAATTATCTGAGAGCTAAAACTCTCAGTGGATCTGGTTGATTTGGGTAGACCCAAATCATCCAGATTCGAGCCAATTCAGAAAAGTTCCTTTCCGCAATTGGCCCAACCGGGACTCGAACTTGGGACCTTATTTACGCAAAACAACATACGCACCACAATCCCACGAAGTTCATCATATCAACATAGATAATTATAAAATAGATGAATAAATAGGTCACAATTCAATAAGAAAATATAAGAGTATTTTAATTATATCGCTTAATACAGATATTTCATATATATGAGACAATACACGACTATAGTATGCCTAGATGAGATACAACAACATGTAAGAAATTAACGTTCCTTGTAATTTGTAGCAGATAGGCACATTACTCATACTAATTGCTGTTTAAATCTTTACATGTGACAAGATATTAGTTGAATTGAGCATGAAACTGGCTTATGTATATGACCGCACATTAATAAACTTTTTCTCTTTATCAAATATAAGTGATTTGTAAATGAAGGTAGATAAAGAATAGAGATCGTAGATCCCTGTAATGTCATAAAGAACCTGGGATGAAGGTAGACGATAGAAGGTAGAGGGTAAACTATACTGGCCTGCGATGACTAGTACCTATACTATGTTCTTTTGTGTTATCTTTCTAGGTTTTAAAGTCTAACGAGAAACAAATCTACTGTATATATATTAGTTCGCTTACAGTAAAAATTTAAAATATATATATATACAACATATATTACATAACAATATATACAACATACATATAACCATAAGATACAAAATGGGAAATTTTATCTGCGAATATCCGTCAATATATGATAATGCTTATTTTAATTGGCATAAATATTATTATAACTCACCGGCCGATCTCTGAGAGCATCTCGTAAAAGTCGTTGACATCCGTATTCCGTTTGATGGTGACATCTCGATTCGGGAAAGGCGGTTCTATTTCTGTAATGAGAACGAAAAATAGGGTTACATTCTTTAATTAAATAATTTTAAATAATAACTGTGGATTAAATGAAATAGAGCGTTTTCGACGTTTTATTGGAGTATTGCTATTAAATAGCTAAGCATCCATTGTACTTTATCATCTTCCTTATCATTTCAGCCTTTATTTGTTTACTGCTAAACATAGGCCTCTCTATAGATTGCCTTTGCCATTTAGGATTTTGCCTGTAGTTACCTTGCTTGGCATTGTTGCGGATTGCCAATCGCAGTTAGGTTTTGGTTGTCTTAAGTATGTATTGTTTAATGGTATTTACGTATAAGCATTACATTATCACATACATTTATGTAAAGTAATAAGTCAAAAATAAGAGCGGAAAAGTTAAGCGTTGTCACTCGTTTTGAACCGACTTCAAAAAGGAAAACCTTACTTTAGTTGTATTTTTTATGTTTGTTACTCACAACTTTATCATTTATAAACCGATATGGAAATTATTTTTAAATGAGAAGATATATATGTACTTTTAGCCATAGAATTTTTAAAAATCGATTCTGTAGTTAAGTTCTTAAAACAAAGTAACTGGTTTTGCTACAATTGAATTTTTTTTTAATTACTTTATATTTGTACAAGATTTTCTAAAACTTTTTACTACCTAGTTTTAAAAGTGCATATCACTTTAATATATTGATATATTTATATAGATATAATCGTATGTATATGATAGTGTAATAAGCTAATAAGCTCTTAATTCCTTCCTGCTCGTGAATAACGAGTTGATGATATTAATTTACAGATACTGTAGAATAAAGTAGGTATTTATGTACTATCTATCATAAGTATATACAGTGGCGAAGTGAGGTGAGAAGAATTATGCAGGATGTGGGTAGGCCCTTTGGTGACGTAAAAAACAGTTTTAAAAAAAAGAATTAAAAATTCTGAAAAAAAATAATACAAATCTGCGGGGTGCCTGGCTCCTTAGATTGCGTGACTGTGGTCGGTGGCCCACGTAGCTCACACCTTAATACATTGCTTATGAGTAGACAGACAACGTATCGTTTTTGGAGCCTCCATTCCAAAAACGATACGGTTTGTTAGTAATAGGAATTGGGTGAATAGGAACCTATTGTTAGTAATATACCTTGTCAGGTCGACCTCCACGCGGTCCCCTTTGAAATCCATCGTGATTCATTTACAGTGAAATCTAGTTTAACATTCGTTATGAGTTAATGTTCCTCACTGGTGCCCCACCAGGCGACGTTACTATTCGATTATCATTCATTAAAACTATAAATATGGAGGTAACAACTTGTTTTATCTTTTCGACCAAATCAGTTCAATACTTTAGTTATAAGAACGTAACTGGGTGTAAAATGAACTTTCAAATGTAGAGTTGAATGCACTATAGGCGTCGAGACGCATATACAGACAGCTCTCTTGGCGATTACTCATCGATTTTATATATATAGTGTATAATGGAGGAGATAAAAGTGGACTAGCTTAATAGATCGTCTATTAGTAAAAAATAAACTTAGAAATTAGTACAGTTATTATTTTTAAAGCGATAGTTCATCCTGTAAGGATAAAATCTGAGGATGAACAAAATACAAGTATTTTAAACAATATTATCATTTGATCATGAGTATTAATAGGAAAATTTGATCTTAAGATAGTTGAGCGTATTAATAGCTTTATAGAAATCTTTGGTGTAGTTCGTGGAACTCTAAATAGAGGGAGAGAATTGTTATAATGGAGACTGGCAACCCCACTGCTAGCAATGTACTCTACTGTCAGGTCGATATTTATGCGATATCCCCTTGAAACAATCATGCTTAATACTTAGTGAATTCGTCATGATGGACCAAATGACCAGATTTCATTCTCGTCACTGGTACTCCGCCAGAGTAAACTAAAGTTATATGAGGACAATTTATTATGTTGTTATAAAGTTTGAATTTAATGACGACATGTCCGAAATTTTTACGTCTCTCAAAACAGGTCGTCTTGAAGAGATGCAACCTATTATTATACGACGCACCGCTGCCAAATACACTGATAAACGTGTCTGGTGTATAGGATCAAAATGGAATGGCAACACCACTAACATTAGCGGAATACCAATGATTTTTTTTATATAACTTAGAATGGCAAACAAGCCGACAGCCCACCTGATGGAAAGTGGTAACCGTTGCCTATAGACATGAGCAGTACCATGGACATAACAGAGTATACTGTTTCGCCCGAAACACGAATGGGATAAAGGTACTCAAGCAATCGACTTTTGTACAAAGTCTCCATCTGGTAAAATAAATGATGACAAGTGAAGATACACTTAGATTATTAGGCCTATCGTGATGAAAACACTACGAATTTACCATGATAATTTCTAGGTTAACTTAACAAGCTATATTGCTAGCAACGAGACCCTGTTACTAACTATCTGTTCCCCACTACATGTCTGATTCTGTACCGGTAATTGTTTTAAAAATAAAACCATATCTATGAATGAACAGTAAAACGTTGGACCAGACGTGACCTTCGAGAGCAGCATCCTAGCATCGAATTCTTGGACACAGTCCGAAAAAAATCACGCGTGGATTGCTAGTTTTAAATAAGTATCTACAAAAAGAATAGAAAATCTTTTCAATTATAGAAAATTACAACTGAACTAATCATTAATGTCCCTTTACTGGACAGAAAAAAGTATTTTTAACACCTTAGGGTGTTTTCAATCTATCTACCATAGAGCAAACTTTATAATTATGTTGTACTACGTCTATGGCTCAAACATAGAGTGTCGTATTGTATTATGAATCTCAATTACTCTGCGTGAGCTGAATTGATAGAGATAAAATACTTCTTCTCTTCTTCTCTATCCCAAATACAACGTACATTTACCTACATCAAATTTTAACACGACTGGATGGCGTCAATAAGTAACAAACTCATTTTGATGATATTTTTTTTTTCAAAAACATTAAGATATCCATTAGGTAAGATAACAAATTTAATACCTTTACAAGTGGCCACAAATTATATTATCTATTCAGAAGGTAAGAAAAATTTTAATCGATTTAAACTGTGTAATATGTAATTTTTTATTTATAATATAAATATCTGTCAGCTATTTACAACTATAAAACTTCTTTCTTAGACAGACAGTTAAAATGATATATTTTGCCAGTCTCGTGACTATTTCTAACGCCCTTCGCGTGCACTGATTGTTCGAAAATTATAATAAAACAAATGTATATAAAGTAAACAATAACAAGCGATTTTTGGCAGAGTCGAGGTATTTGGGATTTTATTTTCGTCGGCTGCTATTTTGTATCGGCGGCGACGGGCGTCGCTGCTCGACCGATGACAGCTATATCTTTAGTTTAAAGTTAAAGAATCATCCACAACGATTGATATATTGTGTCATTTTATAAAATAATTTTGTAATTAATTGCATACTAGTTGTATCCCGCAGCTTTGCCTATGTCAATTAGTATATATGTTCTAAGTTACGATATAACTTATCCGTGTACCAAATTTTCGAACCCATTCCTGTAGTTTCTGTGTAAAATAGTACAGACATTCCCATAAAGTTAGACATTTAAATATAACAGGCCTAATTAGGGTTGCCATTATTTTTTTAGCGAAATATACTAGGTAAAATCGAAACAAATACCATCTTTTTAAGTGAGTATAAAACATTTTTTAATATAATAAAACAGTTATTTTATTGCATTTTTGTAACTACACAATATAATTTTTCTTTACACTGCAACCAAATTATTATAAATTACATAGGACCCGCTATAAGCTTTTATTTAATACAAAAAATGTGATTGGTTGCGCTATCCGATCTGAATAATTTTGCAGTATTATAGAGACAGCCCTATCCTTAATGTTTACCAATCACTTGACGTGTAAAATACTAATTACGAATTAATACAAGATAAAATACGATCATTAGGACATTAATGTACATTATAATTAGTAGTGACAATTGACAATTGATTTACAGAGTTTATCGAGCATACTTACTTAGTTATTAAAATTGGATATGGCGTAATTATAAGATTTAAAGGTTCAAATTACAAAATACAATCAAACAATCATTGTGAATTTCCGACCAGAATTTAATGTTGGTTTTATTAAAATCCAACATTAAATATTAATAGTGATTTATTTTGGGCATACATTAGGCATATCAAGATATACGACATGTGTCTAAATGCGTTCATTTTAAATGAATGTTATCGATGTGGACGTTGCTTAAGATTGCACGATACGGTTCAAGATGGATACTAAGGTTAAAGAGTGAGTCATTTAGTACGAAATAATAATGGAAATACCATTGGTAAACACGTATGGGCAAGACTTAATGAGATGGTCCGAGCAAAATATTTCGTATACGAGTATGCAGTTAAACTTATAATGAGTTGGTTCATTTATTTGTAATAGTTTATATTCTGAGGGGAAGGGATTATTAGTAATGGGGTCTAACAGCGCCACTGCTAACAATATACCCTATCAGATCTACCTCCATGTGGTTTCCCCTGAAAACTATAATTCTTGTGTCTATAGTCACGATGGGCTAACTGGCCTGCTTTCATTCACACCTGTCTACTATCACTGGTGCCCCGCCATCGTATACCGATACGGAGTTATCATTCCATTATCATCCATAAAAAACACTTTATACTTGATTTCTATATTTAAATATAAAAATATATTGTCTTACCCCCAACAGGATCTGTTTCGTCAACGTGGATCATATCTGATGATCTGCAACAAAATAATTGTACATATTAGGTTTATATTTTTTTAAATGACTTCTAAAAGTGTCTGTCTCAAGTTGTAAAGGTTTATTACGGTTGTGTTACGCGATTGTATCATCAATTTAGAATCAATTTTCATTTATTGTTATTGGAATTGATAGGGTTGTTCGTTTTATTTTATTCTTGGTTTTATTTTAATCCTTGGTGGAAATTTAGGTTGCTTTTATTCATAGCAGTAATCCTGTGAAAAAAGCTCTGTCTCATTAAAATTGGGCCTATGAAGTTATATAAGTTCTAAATTAAAATAATTTAAATTATTATTCATATGTAACATGTTGTCGTTAATCAGTGTGAGTACTTAACATTGAAATTGTGTGATTTCATTTAAATTAAAATCATCGTTGTTTTCTTGCGAAGTAAAATAATTGTTAATTGTTAGTGTTATTATTTAAAAATTTGTATAAGTTTAAATTGACAAAAAATATATGATACTAATATGATTAATTTTAAATACTATTGAAATGATTAAAAATAATAGAAATGATAAAAAATGTTAATATATTGATATTAAAAAATAATATCTAAAATATTATATGTTATATTTGCATGAAAATTTTGATATTACAAATTTTTCTCGTAACTCTGATCACGTGATCGTTATATATTATATACTACGATAGTGTTTAATCGAAATAAAATAAAAATATAATAGTATATATCTTTTTTCATCCCCAATTTATGACTTTTGGTTCAATATTTATAATCAAGATGTAAAAAATAAACGTTCGTGTTTTATCTTATTAATATAGTAAAATTGTAACTTGACGATATCTGTGCATGGAAGATATTTAAAAGAATTTAATATCATAGTTTAATAAGCTTAAATTATGCAAAAATTTTTTTAGAAATTGTGTCTGTATGTTTGTTCCGATATCACGCAATAACTACTTCACATACTTCAAATTAGATGCAGTTTTCACAAATGTATTCCTAAAGTTTTAACTTAAAATCTGGAGTATGTTTTATATCTTACCAGAGGGAGACTTTGTACAAAAGTCGTTTGCTTTGACACCTGTCCTATTCGTGTTTCTACCGTGAAGCAGTTGTGTTTACATGGCTGTGTTTCCCAGTGTTCTCTCCAATGATATATATATATATATATATATATATATATATATATATATATATATATATATATATATATATATATATATATATCATTGGATTTTCAATTTCTGAACGCGTACAAGGTAGTACCTAAGCAAATAACTAGATAATGTTACAGTTTTAAGAAAAATGGGTATTCATTACTAGGGATATAGTGCATCTCATACATGAAATAGAGAAGCTACGTTGTCTGCATGTAAATGGGTCGTCTATTTACAAACGACCAGACGTCTAGTTATTACATTATGTTTATTTGCATATGAATGCAAGCGTACTATAACTAGTATTTAATTTCTTTTCAGTATTTCATTAATTTAATACTTTTATGTTATAACTATTACAGAATAATTTTTTTCCTTGTGGAATTGGGTTTTTTGTGGAATTGTGGAATAAATTATTTAATTATTATTTAATTAGAATTATTCATTTGAATTTATTTTAATTAGAATTAATTTAATTAGAATTAATTTTAATTAGAATTATTTAATTAGAATTCGTCTCAAATAAGAGACAAAACCATTTACGAACTAAACACTACCATAGTCTTTGACGTTTGACTTTTTATGAGTATATTGGAATGTGTTTATATGTAGAAATCTTGTAGTTTTCGTGATAATGAGATAATGATTAGATACGTTAACGTATAAAAATACTATTAAACCGGAGCAGCGCTCATAAACTTGATCAAAAAACATAAAAACTGGAAAATCAACAGCGTAAAACGGGACAAGGTTGTAACGAGGAATACGTAACCTATATCTACGAACTAATACTACCTATATTATTATGTTCAAATTGAACCTATACAGAAATAAATTATAGATTTTTATAAAGAGAAATTTAAAAATAAATGAATACTAACAGAAATATAATACATTTCTGTTAGTATTCACATTTTCATTTAAAATTAACATAATTAAGGTAATATGTATAGGTAATTAATATTAATAGTTAAATTAAATTGTGTATGTAAATTAATTTCCACGTGATAGTACAAAAGGTCGGCGGCTTGACTGCAATTGAGATAACCTAGCATATTATATCGCATGTAGCGGTGAAATGTAAATATTATAATAGGTATAATTACGTTTTGCGCAATAATTTTATAGTCACATAATTTCCAATACAGTACCTTGCCATGCTGTATCGAAGAGTGAGGGGGGAGGGGCAGCGCCCACCCCCCGAAAATTGTGGCAGTGAATTTAAAGGGTAAAGAGGAATAACACCTGAGTCCTCAGGAATGGCAACGCATGGGCGTAACAGTATACTCTGTTATGTCCATGGCACTGCTCATGTCTATAGCCGACGGTTACTAATTTCCATCAGATGGGCCGTCTGCATGTATGCCATTCGAAGTAACATAAAAAAATTTATGCCTTACATTATTATTTTGAAAAATCCGTATAGTAAGCAATCACCACTGATCCGGCTTGGATACCTTCCTGGGCCAAAAGCTTGGTATGTCCATGGTATCTTGTTACCTACTATACACTTTAATACTAATAGGTTACTAAATAAGTAGCTCCATATCTAGTAACGTAAGTTTTTTCAAGTAAGTTCCCCTGGAAGTCAACGTGGTTAATACCTGGTGAATGAGTCCTTGGTGAGATCTTCACTTCACCTATTGTCACTCCTTCGTATCCCGCTAATGTATACCAATAACGCTGGCGGGGATTCCATATGGTTATTATCTCATAAAAAAAGATTTTTCTCCTATTGGAGTATTTTTTTAAATTCTACTTATGTATGTTTGCCAAATTTGTTTACTCGATTAATATTTTGTTATTATACTATTAAAAACTGTTTTAAGGGTAAAGTATCTAAGTAAGCATGTTTTACGTTTTTAAAAATAGTTGAACATCAAAATACACATGTGCTAATAATTATGTAAAAATATTGTTCAATGTCTTTGTTTATTATATTTTTATAGTTGTAATTTGACCTCGTCCGTATAAATTTATCATGACCACATAAAATAAGCCATAACGTCATAATATTTCACTCCACCCACTCCTGCAACTCTGTGCAATCACCACGTCATATGCTCCTGCATAAAAAGAATGTTAGGTACTGTCTTTAATCAATGGAAATATAAAAAAAAAACCTTCTTATTTATTATTTGATTCAAACAAAGTGGAACTTTTTAATTTGATTCTATAATTTAAATTTCTTTTTTATGAGAATAACCAATTTTAAGGATTTAACATTAGGTTTATGTACCTAATGTAAAGGGGTTATTTTTTTTAAGAAAAAATGATGTTAATTTACTGTAAAGTGTAATACCATAATAATAGAAAAATATATTAATTGTATATCGTAGTATTTATCCAAAATAAACAGATATTATGTCTGTACACACATCATATTAAAACTACTGGACAAACTTATATAAAATTGTATCAAATATCAAGAGCTTCTTGATAATTTAGCATATCATTTCCATGAGAAAAAAAAACGTCGCACAATTAATCTTTGAAATAATTAACAAGAAACCAACAAGAAAACAAATTACATACGTTAATTACAAAAATAATTTAGTAGTATACCTATTAATTTATATCAAAATCTATTCAGTATTATCGAATATATCGCCAATACATCATGTGTTACATACAAAAAAAATACAGATGAATTGAGAACTTCCTCGTTTTGTAAGAGGCTAATTAATGGTGTTCATAACTTTTGCTTACTAAAGTGTGGCAACATTGCATTTATCTGTCAATTTTCAAAAGTAATTTAATATTTCTCACTGTTTCTGATTGATTGATTATTGAAAAAGTGCTCTGCTAGCGAACTAAAACTTTAATAATAGAATACATTGCATATAATTCTGTCGTTAAAAACAATGTATTACTTCATATTTTGCTTCAGAATTTTTCAAATACATTTTTTGTTCTATTGTATGGTTACGTTTTAATTCATTAGCAAAATACTCAAATAATCAGGCAGAAATATTGAAATATGTTCATTTGTTTTTGAAATATGACAGCTAATTGCAACGGTGCCATATTTTGTTATGAAGGCTCTTAATAAAGTAAGATAAGTAAGATTATAGATATTTCTATAGTTAAACTAATTTATATATAGATATTTAAATGACCCAATTATTTAAAACGCTTATACAAAATGCCGTAAACGATCACTTACAGCTGCCGGTTGGTTTTCTTAAAAACACCTAATGGACTCATCTTGGTGTTGATCCGACATAAAACGCGCTAACATTTGGTAGCACTGGAAATTAATCACACATAACACGCTCTCACCACTTGCCCTATAAATTCCACACGTCAAGATATTTAGAACTCAAGACTTGAACTGGATCATATTCTACGAATTACTTAAGAATTTAACTAGAAATATGATCTTAAGAAAAAAAAAACTGTATACACTGTTTCCTAAGTTTATTTCATGAAATAAATCAGATTAAAAAAGTTTTGATTTTTTTTCGATGAAAGACCACTAGTGTCAAGGAAGCGGTAGTTGGCACTGAATATATTTTAAATCGACGAGTGCATTGATTCGTCCGTCATTCGATTGTTAATTTGGCATCAAAGACGACAGATAACATTAGTCATTGGAAGTCAACTTGTGGGATACGTCATTGATAGTGTCCATAAATAGAATGCGTAATCCATGTGCCATATTATTAATTATTAATGTTTATGTAAATTTCCATTGGGTTCCATACCTGGTGGTTCCTTACTTCGTCACCTCGGAAGCCTTATCATTAGGTGCACGGAAATTAATTAATTACATTGCGTTTTGATAAGGCTAATTTGTCCGTTCCAGTGATATTTTCATAAATCGTGTGTTTTAATGAAATAATTTTGCCTTTATTGT